ATTTCTTTTTTTTTTTTTTTTTTTTTTTGACAGGCAGAGTGGACAGTGAGAGAGAGAGACAGAGAGAAAGGTCTTCCTTTGCCGTTGGTTCACCCTCCAATGGCCGCCACGGCCGGCACGCTGCGGCCGGCGCACCACACTGATCCGATGGCAGGAGCCAGGAGCCAGGTGCTTTTCCTGGTCTCCCCTGGGGTGCAGGGCCCAAGCACCTGGGCCATCCTCCACTGCACTCCCTGGCCACAGCAGAGAGCTGGCCTGGAAGAGGGGCAACCGGGACAGAATCCGGCGCCCCGACCGGGACTAGAACCTGGTGTGCCGGCGCCGCTAGGCGGAGGATTAGCCTAGTGAGCCGCGGAGCCGGCCTGGTTGATTTATTTCTGAGAGTGGAGTATTGAAGTCCCCCAGTACTATTGTATTGGGGTCTAAGTCTCCCTTTATGTCCCTTAACATACCTTTTAAATAAACCGGTGCCCAGTAATTAGGTGCATATACATTTATAATAGTTACATCTTCCTGTTGAATTGAACCCTTAATCATTATATAGTGCTCCTCTTTGTCTCTTAACAGTTATTGTGTTAAAGTTTATTTTGTCTGATATTAATATGGCTACATCTGCTTTTTTTGGTTTCTGTTGGCATGGAATATCTTTTTCCAACCTTTCACTTTGTCTGCATGCATTTTTGTTGGAAAGATATGTTTCTTGTAGGCAGCAAATAGATGGGTTTTGTTCCTTAACCCATTCAGCCAGTCTGTGCCTTTTAACTGGAGAGTTGAGGCCATTAACATTCAATGTGACTATTGATAAGTAGTAACTTTGCCCTGCCATTTTTCCAAAGATATTTCTAATATATGCTTTGAACTTTCTGTGATCTTTTACTGGGAGGTTTTCTTCCTTCACCTTCTTTCATATTGATGGCCGTGTTTCTGTCTTTCTGTGTGTAACACATCTTTAGGCATCTTTTGCAGGGCTGGACGGGTTCTCAATTATTAACCATCTCAACACATGCTGGTATTTAGAAACAAATAGGCATTTAATCTGGAAAGGGACTAAATGTCCTTGGGAGGGGATAAAGAGCAAAGGGATTAAATGCCTGGACTTTGGATCTAAAATGTATGGGTTCCAAAGCCAGCTGTGACACTTACTAGGTATATATCCTGGAGCTGGCAGGTGACTGTCTGTTACTCCCAGTTTAAACTGGGGAGAAACGTTATACTCACTTCCAAAGGTTATTGTGAGGGTGAAATAAGTGAATATGTGAAACACCTAGCATGATGCCAAGCAGAGGAAGCACTGTGTTAAGTGGATGTCAGTGTCATAAATATAGTGCTGATTCTCCATAGATGTATATATTTTTTTTTTTGACAGGCAGAGTGGATAGTGAGAGAGAGACAGAGAGAAAGGTCTTCCTTTTGCCATTGGTTCACACTCCAATGGCCGCCACAGCTGGCGCGCTGCGGCTGGCACGCCGCGCTGATCTGATGGCAGGAGCCAGGTACTTATCCTGGTCTCCCATGGGGTGCAGGGCCCAAGCACTTCGGCCATCCTCCACTGCACTCCCTGGCCACAGCAGAGAGCTGGACTGGAAGAGGGGCAACCGGGACAGAATCCGGCGCCCCAACTGGGACTAGAACCCGGTGTGCCGGCACCGCAAGGCGGAGGATTAGCCTAGTGAGCCGTGGCGCCGGCCCATAGATGTATATTTTAAAAAGTCAGATGCTTGGTCAGTGCCGCAGTTCAATAGGCTAATCCTCCACCTGTGGCACTGCCATCCCAGGTTCCAGTCCCAGTCGGGGTGCCGGATTCTGTCCCGGTTGCTCCTCTTCCAGTCCAGCTCTCTGCTGTGGCCCAGGAAGGCAGTGGAAGATGGCCCAAGTCCTTGGGCCCTGCACTTGCATGGGAGATCAGAAGCACCTGGCTTTGGATCAGTGTCGTGTGCCGGTTGCAGCACACTGGCTGCAGCGGCCATTGGGGGTTTAACCAACGGAAAAAGGAAGACCTTTCTTTCTGTCTCTCTCTCTCTCACTGTCCACTCTGCCTCTCAAAAAAAAAAAAAAAGGCAAAAAGGTCAGATGATTAAGACAGACATTGCCTCACACTGAACAGGAAAGACCAGGTGCAAACTCTCACATGTCCATGTCAGCAATTCTAAAAGCCCTATGTGTGTGTCTACACTCTTCCCTTCTCTTACAGTAGAGTCTCTGGTCAAGGGTGATACCTCCAGTATGCTCTGGTTTCCAGCCTGCTTCACCGAGACAGCCAGTGAATCATCCATCCCCTCTGCTTGACCGCTGTCATCACATTCAGACATTCCCAGAACTTTCCATCATAGACAACACACTCTCTAGGCCCCATGTTCTCCTCAAACTGCCTTCCCCTGTCTTCAAACTAACTCAGTAAAAGAACTGCATACAGCTCCCCTCCCCAGAGGCTGTTCATTACTGCTTTCTACAGCTTCCACTCCCATTTTTGCTGTCATCCAAAGAGGCTGAGATGATCTGTTAAGCAAAAAGGCATTTATTTGGGGGTCAGAATTGCAATTCGGAGAGCTCAGATTCTGGGAGAAACCAGATTGTCTCTGTTAGGAAGGGGTTTAGATGGTACTTTTAAGGGTAAAAAAGGAGGAAGTCTCAGTGAGTCACATGGGTGTATGTTAAGAATTATGATTGGCGGGGCCAGCGCTGTGGCGCAGCGGGTTAACACCCTGTCCTGAAGCACCAGCATCCCACATGGGCACCAGTTCAAGTCCTGGCTACTCCACTTCCAATCCAGCTCTCCTCTATGGCCTGGGAAAGCAGTAGAAGATGGCCCAAGTCCTTGGGTCCCTGTACCCACGTGGGAGACCCAGGGGAGGATCCTGGCTACTGGCTTTGGATCGGCACAGCTCTGTCCGTCATGGACAATTGGGGAGTGAACCAGTGGATGGAAGCTCGCTCTATTTCTGCCTCTCCTCTCCCTGTGTAACTCTTTCAAATACATAAATAAATCTTAAAAAAAATTATGATTGGCAGGTAAATTTGTATCAATAGCTCATTGGTCCAGCACAGAACAGCTTAGACTCTACCACTGTTACAGGAAAGAGCTGAGTTTATCTAATCCTCAGGATAGGCTGCTTCCTCTTATTAAATTAACTGTCTTTTGGCATATCAGCAAATTCACAAAGAGGTCACCATGGCACAGCCACAGAAAGGAGTCACTACTTTCAACTTCCTCTCTCTCACTAGGAACAGTCTTGTCAAGGTTACAAGTGTTGTGCAAGCTGCTAAACACAGTCACCTCTCCTAAAGAGATCTCTCTTGGCAACTTGTGACACAGTTGGTTGACTGCTTCTCCCAACACTTCCCTTGGCTCCCTTTGCTCTGCACCTCTGGGGTCCCTCCCACCTCACTTACTTGTCCTCCTACACAGGATGACCCTCTTTCCTTCTCTCTCTCTACACCTTCTCTCCAGCTGACCTTGGCCAGTCTTGTGGCTTTCAAGTCTTGTGGACTAAAATGCCAATGACTTCCAAAATCGTACTTCCAGCTCTGACTTCATTGAGCTCCTAACTTCCACATCCACAGGTCTTTTATAGCACCTGGATGTCTAATAGTAATAATGATTCCTAACCAATAATCCCCCAGCATTCCCCTGCCTTCTCAGACATCCAAGCTTGTTCTCTCCTGGAGCCTTGATGTTTGCTGTGTGCTCTGTCCACAGCACTCCTGACTCCCCTGGTCATTTGTGTCTTCACTCCAACACCACCTGCACAGAGGCCCTCTCTGAACACTCCACCCAAAGCAGTCCCTGACTCCCACCCAGCTCTATCACAGGGCCCTGTTTACTCTGAGTACCTTTAGTGCACTGTCATTATTAAAAGCCTTCTGTTCACTGATGTTTACTGGTTTCTTTTATAGCCTTTCTCCCTGTACCTACTCCTACCCTAAGAATATCAGTGCCTCTACAGTGATATGAGCTAAATGAGCACCAGAAACAAAGTCTTCTCTTTACTGTACAAGTAGGGGAAAAGTACAGTTTGCAGGTGACATGTCTATAAGAATGCAGGGGAACATAAAACAATGGCATCTACTCATGCTGGGCATTCAGACTGCAGGAATTCAGGAATGAATGGGACGGGCAAGGAACATCTGGATATTTAAGCAATAGTTGCTAAATAAATCTATTCATTGATTTCTTACATGGAAATTACATCTGATAATGGGACACACTAGAAATATTCTTACAAATGTCTACTGTGTTCATTTTTGAGGAAATACACATACATGAACAATTAAAATAGATGTGGATGTAGAACTCCTAAAGGTTTTCAACAAATCAGGAAATGCACTCAGCACCAATGCTTATATACTGGTAAACAGCAGCATTCATAGCCCAACACGCCATTGCTTTATGTTCCCAACCATTCTCTAAAGGATATTTTTTGTCTGGATTTCTGATTTAGCTACAAGATGTGAAATTCCTACACAATCAACTTGTTTTTGCTGTATCATCAGAATTGGCTTAAAAGCAAAATGTTCATATCCCTAGGCTTAAAATAGCCATTTGGGGGCCGGCGCTGTGAATGGCAGGTAAGGCCACCACCTGTAGGGCCAGCATCCCATATGACCACCGGTTCAAGTCCCAGATGCGCCACTTCCCATCCAGCTCTCTGCTGTGGCCTGGGAAAGCAGTGGAAGATGGCCTAAGTTCTTGGGCCCCTGCACCCACATGGAAGACCTGGAAGAAGCTCCTGACTCCTGGCTTCAGGTCGGCGCAGCTCTGGCTGTTGCAGCCAATTGGGAAGTGAGCCATCGGATGGAAGACCTCTCTCTCTCTCTGCCTCTCCTTCTCTCTCTGTGGAACTGACTTTCAAGTAAAGTAAAAAAAATCTTAAAAAAAAAAAAAAAAAACTGTATTTACTGAGCTGCCACACTTTTTCCTTGACCTCATCAATTCCTTCTCCTGACACCTTTTCCTACCCACTAAATTCTGGACTAACAAATACCATATTTGAGAAATCAGAAACTTATACAAAGATCTTTTATTCATAGTTAGGCTTACATAGTTCCAAAAAGTGAACATAATGGAAACATCTGAAAGTACCAGAGGAGGTGCTCCGGTGTTCGGTAGAAGGCACTGATCCCAGCACAGGAGAGAGCTCGGCACAGCTCTTCACACACACACACGTGCCGCATGAAGATGCTGCTCTCTGCCTGGTAACGATTAGCGAGAAGGAGCAGAAGAAACTGAAGACGCTTCCAGGGCTCTCTGGTAGCATGATCACACACAGCAAGAGGTGAAGACTACAGGAGCATGACAGCAATCCTAGTTACAGTGACTACGAGGCTGATGCCATCAACAGTGGCTTGGCAGGATCCACAGATCCTCGAAGGTTCTCTCACACAGATGGTCCTCCCAGATCCATTCCATGGACAGGCCAAGAGTCCATTTTGACAAAACGAAATCCTATGCACATTATCACTGAAACACTCTAGTCCTGGTATTTGCCAATTTGGAAACATAATCAATACTATTGCATTATTTTGGAAATAAGTTAAATCTAGGCTCCAAGAAAAACATATTGTTAAAAAAAATACACAGGTACTTTTGGTGGCATGATTTAAAACTCTGTACTTGGCTATGAAAAGTATTATAAGCAAAGTTCATAAATTCTTGCTGTTAGTAAAAAGAGGGGGAAAAAAGCATTTTACAGTACCAAAATTAGTTTACAACATAAAAATCAAATTTTAAGCAAATACCTTTACAAAACTAATTTATATAATTAAAAACATTAGAGTACATTTTATACATTAACACTGCATGTGTTAAATTATTATATATTAAATATGTGATCTGCAAATTAGATAGAGCTGTTTTAAAATACTATGATCAAATTTCATTCTTTAAGAAGCCACAGAAATTGCCAAATCACCAGGCTGTCTCATGGTGTACTGGCTGTGTATATAGGGGATGGGGGAAGTACACTCTGAGTCAGGAGGGAGTCATTAAGTAACATTTGAAGAAAAACAAGAGGAAATATCAGGTCCAGATTTAATGCACTTCCTGAGTCACACAGAGCTTACTAACTTGAGAGAAACTATCAACCTTGCTTTTATACACTGAGGCTGCTGCTTTCTGGCAGTATCCGGTCCACTTCCCACAAATGTCCATAAAGACAGTGCTGGAGGGAGGAACAGAACACAGATGAACGTCTAAAGAAATAAAAAGCTCTTGCACCTCTTATTCTCCTTTTATGAGGTACAAACAGCCAAAGAAGAGATAAAACATAACAACCATGGTCACATGGCATCTGAGGGACTTCATATTTACACTTTTATGGTACTTTATGAATGATCCTCAATATGCCATTGTCCCTACTGATTTCCCAGGAAAATAGCCTTCACTACTGATGACGTACTTTTGAAGTCCATATCACCCATCCTAATCCACGTCAAAAGACCTTCATTCTTCTTTATGGATAGAGAACAGTCACGTCTCTGCAGTCTCATGCCCGCTGAAGCTCATTATAATGAAGACAGAGAAGAGAAAAGGGACTTGTGGTGCTATTTGTTTTCTGTGACAGGAATTAAGCTGCTGTATCACAGCCTGAAAATTACACAGTAATCACTGCGCTACAGTAACCGTATAAGTCAAAAGAAACTGATTTTTTTCCCAGAAAAAAAAAATGTTTCCCCATGACTTCTTTTCTTCCCAAATCAAAAATACCAAATACATTATTTCCACCTCAAGGCAGGAAGCGTCCAACGCCACATGACATATGCAGGCAGCACAGCGGGGTGACGCCGCCCTCACCGTTGCTGGTCCCCACCAAGCGGTGCTCATAGACCACCATGCGTCATAACTCTTCTCTGGAACCCTTTGGTGCCTCCTGCCTGGCTCTGTCTTCCTCTCTGGGTGCCAACCACGTGAAATACACCTTCACTGGATCGATGTTCCAGTGTTTGTGAAATGATATAGGAACTTGATGAGACAAATAGTCCTTAGGGTAATCCACTGGCCGAGCCTGCGGGGAAAACAGAGAATTATGCTCTCTTTGTCTGAAAATGATTTTGCTTCAGCACAGCATGTGAATTTATAAAACAACTGCTTTGCCTCAATATGTGATGCTAGTTGTGGAAACCTAAAAATAACAAAGAAGATCTCTTCTAGATCTTTCCTCTAACTCCATGCTTTTGTGTCTCCAATGACTTTAATATTCTAAATGCATTGCTTTTTGCTTTTAAGTTCCACAGCCTTGCCTCTGGGAGAGACTTCGAGTATGGCAATAAATACAAAAAAGCTTTCCTCAGTAAGTCATTTAAGCTGCTATTACGATCCTGGAAAAAGGTAAGAAAATTGTTATTTCCCATCCTTCTCGGAGGAACCTGGCCGCACATGGGTGTGCAGGGACTGAGACAGGCAGTGCTCAGGGATCCTTCAGCCTGTCTCCTGCACTATCAGGCAGTTAGATGACGCCTTTCAAACGAACAAGACGTGGCACTCACTGGGGAGAAGAGCAACAGAACTCACACTCTGCCTTCCCAAGTATCCACCCTGGCTCCAGAAGCATGGATGGAAATTGTGAGTAACTCAACGCCTGAAAGGTCTTTGTGTCTTCATCATTTCAAAATTCTCTCGAATTTAGAAAATGAAGCTCAAGCAGAATTTGATATAGCCTGGAAGATGAGATTGGAGAAGTAACCTATAGAGTTAGGAAGAAATTGACACCTGATATGACTGGGTTTGCACTGAGCTAAGCATCCATCCCTCTCAATGCTCATCTTAGTTTCTTTATAAACTTATATGGCCCATCTCTATAAATGTAGGAGGTTATTTCAAAAATTCAAAATAAAATGAAAACATAAGTTCATTTTCGTACAACAAAAACCTTGAAATTCATGCAGGCAAATCTAGCAACTCATTGGATTATCAACAATAAAAACTGTTCTAATAAAACTAGATATTTTATCTTAAAAACTAACATTTTATACAGTCTAAATTTTAATACAAACATTTAAACTATCTTAAATGATTTACAAAATTCCTTTGTTAAACTTTATTTATACAAAACAACTTTATAAGATGCACAGAATATTATAATTCGTTCTCAACTTACAGATGAGGAAACCAGAACTCACAGAAGTGACATGACTGGCAAAGGCTGGAAAGGAGACGCAAGAGAGGCAGGTCTCACTCCCTGTCCAGTGTTCTGCGCACTGGCCTCCTGGAGAGGTTTTATCCATTGGTAGTACAAATACACTATTCAGATGAGCACTCATCTACTATCCACAGGGAAAAACTCAAAATAACATAGGGGAAGAAATTTCACAATTGCTTTTTAAAAATCCTAAGTATGCATACAGCTGAAAATCTAAGAAGGGGATTTTAAAAATAAAGACAGTGAGACAAAAAATATATATTGGAATATATTGGAATTACAGTCTAACTGAATGGGTAAATTTGAATAATGGTTGAGGGAATTCATGGATTGGAAGCTGTGAGTTCATATACTCAAAGGCCTTCTGAGAGTTTACTGGCAGGGAAGAAAATCAAGGAGAAACACAGCTTCAATTTGGTTCTCAAATAATTCCATAATAGTCCAAGAAAAAAGTACAAAGTGATGAAAACAAAACCTTGCCTGTCTTTCATATGTAAAAATGAACTGTTAGAGATAAAATACATCTAACAGGAAAGAAGAAATCCTCCATATCCTTCCCTCTGTTACAGGGTTCCAGGATATCAACTGCATTGCAGGAAGCAATGGATGCATGTGAAGAGGCAGCTTGTTAAGCATTACAATGTGCAGGTCATTTTCAATAAATGAAATTCTGGGGAAAAACAAGACACAACTAGAAAAATGAAATGCACTCGAAGAGAAATCTGCACCACTGAGAATCTACATAGGCTGGAATAATCACATGTCTGTGCCCAAAATGCCAAAAGCTATCCCAAACAGGGAGGGTCAGGATCGAGAAGACCTTGAGGGCAAGGTGTGCAGTGTGATGGGCAGCTGTGCGCAGGAAAAGAGACAGCTTCAATTACACATGGACACAGATTGGACAAAATTAAAAGCTTATCCAAAGGTTAGAACAGGGCAATCAATGGAGATTCAAATTCTATTTCCTTTGGCGTATACTTTTTACAACTGTACTGAGGAATAATTTACATGCCATGCAGTTTAAGCCACAGCAATGGCGGTCTAAACCTTTTTAGAAAATTCCAAAAAAGGCCGGCGCCACGGCTCAATAGGCTAAGCCTCTGCCTGTGGCGTTGGCACGCTGGGTTCTAATCCCAGTCGGAGTGCCCCGGATTCTGTCCCGGTTGCCCCTCTTCCAGGCCAGCTCTCTGCTGTATCCCGGGAGTGCAGTGGAGGATGGCCCAAGTCCCTGGGCCCTGCACCCGCATGGGAGACCAAGAGAAGCACCTGGCTTCTGGCTTCAGATCAGCACAGTGCACCAGCCACAGCTGCCATTGGAGGGTGAACCAACGGCAAAGGAAGACCTTTCTCTCTGTCTCTCTCTCTCACTGTCCACTCTGCCTGTCCAAAAAAAGCACATTGAGGGACAATCACAAATCCACTTTTAGAATATTGCAATCATCCCCCTAAAATACCTTTGCACATATTTGCATCCAATCCCTGTCTTTCCTGGAAGCCCCAGAAATCCACTGATTCACCTCATGTCCAAAGTGTTGCCTTTTTTAAACAATGTCTTATGAGTGGAATCATATATGAATATTTTGTGCTTTGCTTCTATCTGTTAGCATTGTTGCAGGTATCAGGGGTTCATTCCTTTTTACTGCTGAGTAATGCTGCTTTGTAAGAATATACCATATTTTGCTTTTCTAATCATCAGGTGATAAACATTTGGATGGTCTCCAATTTGGGATTATGATGAGTTGGGCTATAAGTATTCACATTCTCTGTGAATACACACACACACACACACACACCGAGTACTTCAAAAGGTTTTTGGAATTCAAAGATGTTGTGTTGCAAAAGAAAAGACTGAAATCCATGCATGCTTTTTTCATAATACTCATTTTGCATGAACTTTCTGATGGCCCTTCGTATGGATGCATTCAAAACTTGCTGTACCCAAATTAACTCATCTCTTAATTTCACTTCTCAGAAACTTTGTAGATTACCTCATATGCTTATATACATGTATGTTTTCATGGGGGGGATAGATAACTAAAAATGGAATTCTGGGGCACAAATGTAATGTACTAATTACCAATTGCTATAAAACTTAATACCGGAAGTCCAGGAACAACTTGGCCGGGGCCCCTGTTTCAGTCTCACAAGGTCCCAATCAAGATGTCAGCCCAGGGTCTGCAGATTCATCTGAAGGCACCATTGGGAACAGATCCAGTTCCAAGCTCACTTGGTGGCTGTTGAGGGTACTCATTTCCCTGTGGGCCACTGGACTCAGGACTGCACTTCCTTGCAGGCTCTGGGCTGCAGACCACTATCAGTTCCCTGCCATGAGGTCCCTCCCTGTTGGCAGACTGCCTCAAGCCAAGAAGGGAACAGGGAGGGTCTGATAGGAAGATGGAAGTCACAATCCGTCGCAGTCTAAGTATGCAGGTCACATCCCATCACCTTTGCCATATTCTATTTGTAAGAATCAAATCACTGGGCTTCACCTTTTCTCTAGGGGAGGCAACTCGGCAAGGGCATGAATACCGGTGTTAAGGTAGCCAGGTAGACATTAGCCTGTGTGTGGACGAAGGGCCAAGGAAAATAGGAAAAAAAAAATGAAAATTTTTTAATTTTAATTTTTGTGCAATGGAACAAGGCAATAAGCCCTAAGAGCAGACTAGTAATTACACCTAAAGTAACTGCTCTTGTTCAATAATCTTATTAGATGGGTTTCAGTCCTCTCCCTGGGGGCAGCTAAGGGAATTCGCCCTAACTCATCCCCCACCTTCCACCAAGAGGTCCAATAAGACTGTGCTGATGAGGGCCTGGGAGGGCTTTTGGGAACTCCACATCCATTAATTTCCCAGAAGAGAGAGGAGGGGAGGAGAACAGGAGGACTATGCTCATATCCATAGAAACTACAGCCTGAGTACAGACTGGGCTCTCCAATCTTCCCTGAGATGCTGTGTGTGTCAGGTGTTTTCTCTTTACTAAGCTTGGCTAGCATGCGTACTGCTGCTCCTTCTTGAGTGAAGATGAGACATTCCTATCAGCTGTCTCTGGTTAACACCACCAGGTGGGGATCACAGAGATCCACACCAGAAAGCACCTATCACATGTATGTCTAACTTAAGACTCTGAAACAATGTTTCCAAAGTATCTGTGTTTTAAATTCACCACAGCAGTGCATGAGAAATTATTTTTTCCCGCATCTGCACCAAGCTTCTGCATGACCCGCCTGTCTCCTTCTCACTTTCCTTTCTTTCTTAGATTTTCCTTGAAAGTCACAGTTACACAGAGAGGGAAGGAGAGGCAGAGAGAGAGAGGTGTGTACTGGCACACCACAGACCTCAGCTCACAGCTCCCCAGTGACTAACAACGCTGGGCATCTTTCCAGGCACCTATTACTCACTTCTGGATCTTCCTTAGCAAAATGTCTATCAAACCTTCTTCCCATTTTCAACTGAGCAGTTTCTTATTATTTAGTTATAAAAGGACATTATCCATTTTAGACACAAGTCTTCTACCAGATACATAATTTGCAAATACCTTCTCCTAGTCTATGACATGCCTTAACACATTTTCTCAATGATGCCTTTGTAGAGTCATTTCTAAATTTTTAACAAGTTTAATATATCAATTTTTCCTTTTATAGATCATGATTTTGATGCAATAATAAATCTATCACCAAACTAAGGTCACACAGAATTATCCCTAAGTTTTTTGGAAACCTGTTAAAGTGAAATGAACACTATGAGAAACGGTGACTTGATCAGCCTTGCCCTGACTGTTGATGAGCAGCTTAATATGTTATCCCTCTTAGTACTTTTTTTTGTTTGTTCTACTTAATACTTTTGGTTGAATACTGTAATCAATACACA